CAGGGCAGGAAGAGACGGGATGAGAAGTCCAACTGGAGCACCAACAGAAAAGGAAAAAACACAGTAGAAGCAATGTTCATAGCAGTATTATTCCACAATAGCCCAAAAGTGGAAATAATCCAGATGTCCACCAACTGGTCAAAGGATGAACAAAACATACTTCCATACAACGGAACACCACTTAGCACTGAAGAGGAAGGAACTGACACACAGCGCGGATGAACCTCAAAAACATGGGTGTGAAGGATGCCAGACACAAAAGACTCTGTACTTCCTGCTTCTGTTGAAATGAAATGTACAGAAAAGGCAAATCTAGAGACGGAGAGCAGACCGGTGGTTGCCTGTGAGTGGAAAGACTGCAGACGGCATGAGGGATCCTTTGGGGCGATGGAATTGTTTAAAAACTGGTTCATGGCGATAGGTACACAACTTTATAAATGTACTAAATTTCATGTTATACTCAAAGTGATATGTAGATCACACCTCAATAAAGCTGTTTCTAAAGAAGTTTCCAAAACTGATCGTGCCAGTTACCAGTTTCTCATTCCTCATGTGCACGTCTCCCGTTTATCTGGTCCTCTAAAGTGAGCGTTTCCCGTGTGCAGGGAGCACAGGGTTTTGTCCCTGGAGGGGTCCTGCAGCAGGCGCCGGCTCCAGGTGTGGAGACCGCTGTTTTCTGCTCACTCTGACCGCAGGGCTACTAGAGGAACGTGTCGGGAGGCATCCAGAGCATTCTGCCCCAGCCACACCCTCTACCCGCATCTTGCTGTCTCTCGGCAAGCCTGCAGCCCAGCCTGACCTGCTCATCCTCTCACTGTGGCCCCCAGGCCTTGTGCCACCCTGCACGCATGCCCACCTGCCAGCCTCGGCTCACCCAGCTCTGAACCAGCTCTGGCCTGGGTGACCCAGTGTGTTTCTCAGCACCCCCAGTGGACTGTAAGTAACCACACCTTCTCCAACGAGCTCTGAATCCCAGCATAGGGACTTGGGCCCTCCTGAGTTTTGCTTTCCTCGGGCATTCACCTTCACCCTTGGGTAACTTTAGCATTCCCTCTACACCTTCATAGTCGCTTTTCTCTCACAGTTAATAATTCTTTATATTAATCTTTCTCTGTTCAAATTACTCCAGTTTATGCCTTCTGATTGGTCCTTGACTGAAAGACATCAAGCCCTAAATTCAAGAAGCCTTATGAATCCCAAGTAGGATAATTAAAAAGAAATACAGTGGGTCCCTCAGTATCCACAGGGGATTGGTCCCAAGACCCGCTCTGGATACCAAAATCCACCGAAGTTCAGGTCCCAGAGTCAGCCCTCTGTACCCACGGGGTCAGCAGCAGAGTCAACCTCAAATCTTAAACAGTATGTGCCCCCGCAGCTGGTTGGGCCCACAGATAGGGAGGGCTGACTGTACACATCTAAGCACAGCATCGTTAACCTTCTGAAAGACAAAGACAGAAAGAACATCTTTAAGTAGATAGAGAAGGAAAAAAAAAAAGGACACATTACCTTCAAAGGTAACAATGAATGAGACTCCCCAGTGGAAGCACCTGGGGAGACAAGTCGATGGAGTATCTTCAGTACTGAAAGCAAGTCACCAACCACACTTCTATACTCACTCTAAATCTCTTTCATGAATGAAGGTAAAAATCACGATACTGTCAGACAAACAGAAACAGAATTCATCACAAGCAGACCTACACCAAGACAAGACTGAACCGTGTTTTCAGGCCAAAGGGAGATAATCCCAAATGGAAAGTCAGACATGCAGGAGAGAAGGAAAAAGCCACAAAAACCAGTCAGCATGTGGGTAAACCTAAATGAGCATGAACTGTATAAACAATAACCATGTCTCATGGAGGTTTAAAATATGGAGAATTAAAATACAAACCAACAGTATGTGATTCAGGAAGGCACATGGAGTTAAGAGTATTCTCGAATTAGTTCTTTTTTTTTTTTTTTGCGGTACGCGGGCCTCTCACTGTTGTGGCCTCTTCCGTTGCGGAGCACAGGCTCCGGACGCGCAGGCTCAGCGGCCATGGCTCACGGGCCCAGCCGCTCCGTGGCATGTGGGATCTTCCCGGACCGGGGCATGAACCCGTGTCCCCTGCATCGGCAGGCGGACTCTCAACCACTGCGCCACCAGGGAAGCCCTCTCGAATTAGTTCTTGAATTGTCTAGAAAGGAGGAAAAGTACTAGGCTTTCAGAAGTCAAGAATGCAAGTGTGCAGTCTCTAGGGCACCACTATAGAGTGAAAGAATGTATAACTGCCAAGCCAATAGAGAAAAGATACAAGGTTCACTCATCAAAAAGATTTAACAATTTCTAAATATGTATGCATCTAACTACATAGCCTCAAAATATCTGAAGCAAGGGCCGACATGGAGAAATGGACAAATCTGAGATGCTAATGGGAAGTTTTAACACACCCCTCTGAGGAACACTGTGAGAAATGACTCATCTTACACAGCACTTCCAAAAAGAAAATGAGAATCCCTTCGCAACTCTTGTAAGGAGACCAACATAACCCTGCTACCAAAACCATAAACAAAAATGAAAATTACAGATCAATTTCACTTATGAACACAGATGCCAAAAGCCCTGAACAAAATATCCACAATGTTCGATATAGAAAAAGGATAATACGTCACGGTCAAGACGGGTTTGTTCCACGAATGAAAAGTTACCTTAACATCTGAAAATCGACATTAAGTCACCATATTAACAGAATTAGTCAGATAATTTTCTCAGTGGATATGTAAAAGTAATTAATAAAATTCAATATCCATGCATGATTTTTAAAAACTCTTAGCAGGGCTTCCCCTGGTGGCACAGTGGTTAAGAATCTGCCTGCCAATGCAGGGGACACGGGTTTGAGCCCTGGTCCAGGAAGATCCCACATGCCACGGAGCAACTAAGCCCGTGGGCCACAACTACTGAGCCTGTGCTCTAGAGCTCGGGTGCCACAACTACTGAATCCCGCACACCTAGAGCCCGTGCTCCGCAACAAGAGAAGCCACCGCAATGAGAAGCCCGCGCACCACAACCAGAGGAAGCCAACGCACGGCAACAAAGACCCAACGCAGCAAAAATAAAAATATAAATAAATAAATTTATTTTAAAAAAAACTCTTAGCAAAACAGAAATAGAAGAGTACTTCCTTAATCTGAAAAAGGATATCTATCTTTTACAAAAAACAGAATGTTGAAGCCTTCCTTTTGAAACAAGGAAAAGGATAAGGTTGCCCACTGTCAGCACTGCTATCCAGCATTGTACTTGGGGGGCCCCAGCCAGTGCAGGAAGGAAAACACACGAAAAGAGTAAGGGCTGGAAAGGAAGATAAGAAGCTCATTATATATAGATGGTAATACTGTGTAAATAGAAAATCCAACAGAATCTCCAGAGAAGTTACCAGAAGAAGTGAATTTAGAAAGCGTGCTGGGTTCAAAGTCAATCATCTGGAATCAACTGCATTTTTGTACACTAGCAAGTAACAAAAAAATATAAAAGTGATCATATTTATAACAGCATCAAAAAATCAAATACCTAGGGATACTAACAAAATGTGCAAACTTTCTGCACACAAAAAAACATCAAGGGAACTGTTTAAACGACCTACTAAACAAATAAGGAGATTCACCGTGTTTGTCGGAAAACAGCACTGTTAAGATGTCTGTTGTCCCCAAATTAATCATAGATTTAAAGCAGAGTCAAAATCCCAGTTTTTTAGGACGTGGAAATTGACATATTAATTCTAAAATTTATTATAAATACAAATGATTTTAAATGACCAAGAATCTTAAAGATGGCGGGAGGACCTGACCCACTCAATGTCCAGACTTACTATCAAGTCCCAGGCATGAGGTATGATAGTGGTAACAAGAAGAGACAAATGGATCTCTAGGATCTAGTCCAGGTGGGTGGCAGACCTCAATGTGAAAAAAACCCGAAAAGCTTCTAGATCTTGAAGACAACATAAGAGAACATCTTCATGACCTAGGAGTAAGGAAATTTTTCTTAAGCCTTAAAAAAGCATTATCCTGGGCTTCCCTGGTGGCGCAGTGGCTGAGAGTCCGCCTGCCGATGCAGGGGACGCGGATTCGTGCCCCGGTCCGGGAAGATCCCACATGCCGCGGAGCGGCTGGGCCCGTGAGCGGTGGCCGCTGGGCCTGCGCGTCTGGAGCCTGTGCTCCGCAACGGGAGAGGCCACAACAGTAAGAGGACCGCGTACTGCAAAAAAAAAAAAAAAGCATTATCCATAAAGGAAAAGATAAATTTGAATATATATTACAATTGAGAACTTCTTTTCTATCGGATGAACCATTAAGAGAATGAAAAGGGAAGCTACAAAGTAGAAGAGGATATTTGCAATCCCTGAATCTAACATAGGACTCATATCTAGAAAACACTAAAGAACTTCTCTGAACTGATAAAAGAAAGACATAAAAACGGGCACAAGACTTAAACAAGTACATTATAAAAAGAGAGATCCAAACAGCTGATGAGCATATGATAAAAAGCTCAATAGAATTCGTCAGAAAAATGCAAATTAAAGCCACAATGAAATACCACTACAGTTTTAACGACCAGAAGCACTCAAATGTAAAAGATTGACAAACACCAGGGATTGATGAGTTTGCGAACAACTGGACTCCCGTCCGCTGCTGGTAGGAATGCAAAATGATGCAACCACTTTGGAATGGCAGCATCTGACTGAAGCTTTATCTTACACACTCACAACTTCCTCGGGAGAGCCTTTCTTTACCACTCTCCAAGGCCAAACACCTCTAGGCCACACCGGAGTGATTCTAAGACACACATCTGAGCATCTCTGAAATCAGGGTGCGCCCTAATGTAATCAGAGCTCTCATTCCAGATTTGCCCCAGTCACCTCTCCTTCATGGCGCTGTAGCCACAACACTGACACATGTCTGTCGAAATGGACTTCCTTCTTCACTCCTGGGAATCCTGAAACTGGAATTACTGGGTCAAAAGACATGCACATTTTTTCCAGTTATTTTTTAATTACACAACACATGAATACACCCATATTTTAAAATTCGGCACAAACCCTCCTAGTACCAGTCCTTCCCCAAAGGCAGCCACTCTCAGCAGTTTGCAATATATCCTTCTAGACTCTGTTCTTTGCACTTACATGCATATTAATATATGGTACACATATTACTAGAAGCTACCATTAGCCTACTTTCCATAAAGATGGTAGCAATACACATCTACCAGTAATAAATGAGAGGGTCAGGCCTTTGCCACCTTTAGAATCAATCTTTCTAATTTTTTCCCAATCTGATACGTAAAAATCATCTCATGGTTTAAGTGTGTACTTCCCTTATACACAGAACTCAAATCCATCTCTTCCTCGTATCTGGAATTCCAGATTTTAGGAGGTCTCCCCTTCCACACTGCCTAACACCCTGAAGTTATACAAATATTCCCCTAAGCTTTCATCTACGATTGGTAGAGCTTTATTTCACACTACTTAGCTCTTTAATCCATCTGGCATTTATTTTTACATACAATAGGAGAAGAAGAATTATTTTTCCAACCAGAGCGCCAACTCTGCCCTCCCTGCCTCACTCAATTAAAATGCCATTTTGGTCAGGTATTAACGTCCCATATATACTTGGAATGTTTTCCGGACTTTGTCTTTCACCGATCCATCTCTGTGGCAAAGCCATACTGTGCCTTGTTTATTGTAGCTTTATCGTAAGTTTCAAAATCTGGTGAAGAAAGTCGTCCCTCATTAAACTTTGAAAAATTATTAGCAGTTTTTGCACATTTTCCTTCCGCATGAATGTTTAAAAACATCTTTCTCAGTTTTAAAAGCTTGGCTTTCTTGTTGGAAGTTCATTAAATCTGTTTACTTAAGAAGGCTATAGATAGTTTCATGATACTACGTCTTCCCATCCAGATATTTTGTTCTTTGCTCTTTTTAGAGAAGTTTGGGCCTTTTTGTGCACTGGCTGTCCCGGACTCCTTGTACCTTACCATACATGCACTTTCCTTCCAAAAAAATAAAATAAAATAAAATTATTCTCTTCATTTGGATCTGGGTCTTTCCTGTTGAGTTTATTCCTAGGTTTTACTGTTTTTATCACTACTGTGAGTGGAATTTTAAAGTTCTTCCACTTGTACCTGAATATTGCTATTGACTATTGTATACTTTGTATCCAGTCACTTCTCTGAGTTCTCTTACTTTGATTTTTTCATTGACTCTTGGATAGTCTAGCTAGAGTATCATTTTGTCTCTTCTAGTTTTCACACTACAAATTTCATTTTGCTGTTTCTTACATTAGCTAGAACCTCAAAACAATGTTGCACAGAGACTCTAGGGGGCACCCATGGCTTGGTCCTGGTTACAGTGGTTTAGTAATTTCCCACTTAACACACCATATGCTGCTGGTGCATCTACCAGCTTCGGCGGCACCTGGGAGCTCATGAGAAATGCAGGCTCTCAGGCCCTACTTACTGAATCAGGATCTGCATTTTAATAAGATTTCCCAGGTGTCTGATAATGTACTTTCAGGTTCAAGGCACACTGGTCTAGATGACTTCTTTCTATTCTGATTTTAGGTAAGAGTTTAGTAACAGGAAGAGCTATGGCAGTTGGGGTCTACCAAGTGCTTCTTGGCATCTACGGACCCCTAAAATACAGCTTCCTCCTTTTTCGCGGCAATCGTGCGTTTTAGGGTTTGATATCCTAATTCTGGGCCGCCCCACGTCCTAGACCGTGAGGCCACCTCTCGGGCTCCAAGCATCATCACTCCTCACCACCTACTCCCGCACCCCCATCTCTCCAGCCCCTGGAGCATTTCGAGGGCCGAGATGGGTTGTCCTGCTTCAGCTCCCAGACCTGGTCAGTGCTCAGAAAACACCTGATTTAACTTGAGCTGTCGATCTTTTACGGCTCAGCCAGGGGGCCCCCTTCCTCCTCTCTAGATGCAGATGGATTTCCTTCCTCTCCCATCACCTTTGGCCCGCGAAAGACCCTACAGAAATTCCCACCATCGGTACCCAGCGGCTCCACCACCACGTGCACAAGACACCGTGCTGCACAGACTGGGCAAACCCCAGCATCTCAGAGGGGCCGGCGTGGGAGCCCCAGGGCCCAGCTGTGGACAGAGGCGTCCCGCTCACCCTAAGGTGACCCAGGGTGAGCAACAGCCCCGACGCGGCAATGAGACGCTCCGCCCAGGGTGCTGCTGTTCGTTCACGACTGACCGGACGTCGTGGCCTTGGTTTCTGGACACGGGGTCATCAGGAGAGAGCCTGCCCCCCCCGCACGGGGCTGGGACGCAGCACGACCGGCCGGGAGCGACCCAGGAGAGAGGAGGCCACTCCTCTCAACTCCCCAACAGGGAGAAAGCAAGCCCAGCAGCTCTGCCCTGCAATCCCAGGGCTGGGCTGGGCGATGGGGAGGCCGGAGGTGGCAATGTCCTTCCAGATGGCTCCGAGGGCAGTGAGGGCACTGGTCCCTCTGCTGGTCTCTCAGGGGTCAAGTGAAGGCCAGGGGCATGGGGGCACTGCCAGCACAGTGCCAGGAAGACCTCAGGCCCCTGTAGCACAGCTGGGCCTGGGCCCTGGGGCCACCTCGGGCTAGGACACTGCCTGAGGCCACCTGCAGGGGCAGAGGCCCAGCCATGCGTGCGCTGAAGGCTGCAAAGCCCGTCTTCTTCTGAGCCTGCCCAGGTCCCCTCTAGGTGACAGATGGCCACCAGCAGGGATCCAAGTCCGCAGAAAGAGTCTGGCCAGGTCAGGAGTCCCCAGGTGTCCTGACGTCCCCGAAGGAGCCACCCGCCCTCAGGGCAGGTAGAGTGCTACCACCACGTAGATGACCCAGCTGGTGGACACGAAGACCCCAAAAAGCAGGCTGAAGAGTACCAGCGAGCGGGCCTTGCGCGAGGCCTCCTCAGCCTGGGCCAGGTCCCCCCTGCCCAGGGCCGCACGAGTCTGCAACGAGATGGGGGGTGAGCGGACACAGAGTCCCCACTCCCTCCCAGAGGCACCATCGGGCCCGGCCCCAGTGCGCAGACTGGACAGCTGACCCCGTGAGGCGGTCAGGGGCCTTCCCAGCGACGGGGGTGGCGGCTGCCGGCTCCTGGGCTCTGGCCACGGGCCTGACCCAGATCCACACCCTCCGTCCCATTGCCTACAATCCTCACAACAACCCCGAGTCATCGTTGTCCCCACTTTGAAGATGAGGAAACGAAGGCTCAGAGAGGTTAAGTGACCCACCCTAGGGCCACACAGCTGGTGGTGGAGCCAGAATTGACAGGCAGGCAGCAGCCTCCGGAGTCCCGCCTCTGAGCTGTCCTGAGAGCGTCTTTCTCCCCACAGTCCTGTCCTGCTTATGACGGGGGAGCTTGGCCATGGAGGGAGGTCAGCCTTGAGCAAAAGCCCCAGGGCCTTCCTACTCTGTCTAGTAGCATGTCCTCACATTGGCATCATGCTAAGTCCCCAGGGTCTAACCTCTTGCCTGGCCATGGTCAGAAACAATCAGGAGGGAGGGACGGAGGAAGAAGAAAGAGTGTTATCGAGAGGGTGGGGGGGTGGATGGACGGAAGGATAGGGACAGGTGGTTGGATGAGTAGACAGATGGGTGCATTAATGGACGAACAGAGGGGTGGGTGGATGGATGAATAGATGGAGACTAGAGAGATGGTGGATGAATGGGTGGGCAGGGGCTGAACAGACAGACGGGTAGCTAGACAGATGGAGGTGGATGGGTAGAAGTGAGTGGATGGATGGATGGCAGTCTCCACCTGAGTAAACACAAGCCCCCACCGGATGGGCTGTTCCTTGGGCCTTAATCATCCACACCTTCAGTGTGAATTGTTTCCGTTGCATTTTCTAGGGCAGATCTTGAGTGACGGGGAGCAGAGACAGCCGAGGAGAGGGCGAGGACCGCACAGACAACTGGGCACTGATTTCCCAATCCTGCTCCCCTTCTCAGGGGGAAACACCAGGGGCCCAGTTGCTGGGGAAGGGGCTGTGTGGACCCCACCTGGTCCCTAGTGGCTGCAGGCTGGGAAGGCTGTACCAAGGACCGCCCCACGCCCACCTACCTCGTGGGAGTAGACGACGGCAATGAGCCCAGTGAGCAGGCAGCAGAAGAGGGTCACCAGCACGGACTCGACCATGTAGTCCTTGGGCAGGGGCCTGTGTTCCACCGTGGCCGGGGCTGGCACACCGGCCACGGCGCTGTTGTACTGTGAGGGCAGAGGCCACGGCGTGGTTAGGGAGCACGCAGCCTGCGACAGCCGTGGACCCGTCACTCCACCCACTGCCAAGCCCCACCCAGTGATGCTGCGGGTCGCCCAGGGGTCAAGGCCCCCCTTCTGCCCGCTCCCTCGGCACCCCCAGCCTATCACTCAGCCCCCAGAAGTCTCAGGGTTCTGCCCTCTACAAAGTACTCAGTCCAGGGTCCAGCCACCAGTGTCTCCATGTCCCCACTGGGTCCCCACCAGGAGGGACCTCGAAGCTATCCTCCACAGGCAGCCAGTGTTGTGTTTTTTTCCTAAAAATCTAATCAAGTCATCTCCTACCAAAGGCCCTGGGGACCCTCACGGTGGATCCCACCTTCCTATCCTCCCCTCCCCACTAAGCTGAACCAACCACCGTCATTGCCAGAAGACACGGACCTTGGCCCCCTGCACGCCTGTACTGTGCCCTCCTTCTCTCCTCTGCCTCAACTCTCCTATTCATCCCGTAGAACCCAGCTCAAATGCCCCCACTGCTGGGAAGCCTCCCACTCCCGCCCAATCCCCAAGCTGAGGGAGCCCTTTTCTACTGCTCCCCTGGGCACAGAAGCATCCCCCTGCCGGCCGCTTGTGGTGACCTCTCACCTCCTGTGCGCCAAACTCTCCAGCCCAGGGAGGGAGGGACGGAGGGAGGGGCGTGGGGGGAGGAGGGAGGGGCGAGGGGGAGGAGGGAGGGGCGAGGGGGAGGAGGGAGGGGCGAGGGGAGGAGGGAGGGGCGAGGGGAGGAGGGAGGGGGAGTGAACAGGGAGGGGGGCGGCGCCCGCGGCCTGACTCACCACCGGGAAGGGAGCGAAGAGTGGCTGCGCAGTGGGCCCGGGGAAGAGCGGCGCGGGCGGGGGGTACAGGGCGGAGGCGGAGGGCGCGGGCGGGAAGAGCACGGGCTGCGGGAAGGGCGGCGGCGGGTAGAGCAGGTGCGTGGCCTTGGGGTCGGGCGGCGCGTAGGGCGGGGGCTCGCCCACGAAGCCGATGTTGGGGACCCCGCCGGCCGCCGCCTTGGGCGGCTGCCGGGCGTCGCCCGCGGCCTGGGCCTGGGCCTGGTCAGGGGTCGTCGCGGAGGCCTCGGCCGAGGGGTCGCCGGGGGTGCCCTCCGGCGCCGGGGCGCTGCCTCCGTCCGCGGCCGCTTCCTCGTTGGGCCCTCCGTCCTCCTCCAGGAGCTGCGGGCGGCGAGGGAGCTGCGGGAGCTCTGGGCGCGCGGCGCTCCCGGCGTCCTCGGGGCTGCCGCCCCCTTTCGCGTCCGCTCCTGGGAAGAAATGGCAGGGGTGGTGAGCCCCCAAGAGGCTGCTGGGCCAGGTGGGAGTCCTCCCCCCAAACCCCAGAACACAGCGCCTCCAAGGAGAAAGTCACAATGACCGTGCCCATCCTGACCCCTGGTGAACCCCGCACTCAGGCTTCTCCAAGCTGGGCCCTTGAATCTTTACCCAAAGTGCTACAATAGGACAAGAAAACTAAGGCTCAGAGAGGTGAGGTGCCTTCCTGGTGATCACACAGCCAGTACGTATGGCCGGCTGGGATGGAAGGCAGGCCTTGCCCACACCTGCCAGCCCCTCGTCCAGATTGCCCCTGCTGGGAGGTGGCCCTGTCCCCACAGTCCTGCTGCCGCAGCCGTTGGAACCCGGAAGAAGCTTCAGCCCAGGGCAGCCCCCTCATAGGCTGTGCTGAGACACCGTCCAATGGGGGCTGGTCTGAGGAGATTAGCTGAGCCAATCAGGTTCTCGGCTCTGGAGTGGTCGGGCCCCCCCAGCCAAGCCAGTGACTTCAAAGAGGCAGGAGGTCACTAAGGGCCAAGTGCCTTCTGAGGCAGAGAAGGAACAGAAACAGGAATGGGGTGGGGGAGGGGCAGGGAGATGCCAGGAGCAGTGGGCGGAGAGCAGCCCACCCAGCAGCTTGGAGGGCGCTCAGAGGCCCTCAGCTGCCCAGCTGCCTTCCCTCCCTGGTCCTGGCCTCCAGCATCCATACCATAAATTCTGGAGGCACCCCAGCTGGTCCCAGCAACTCCTGAAGGTCCCCCTGCACCTCCTAAGAGCAGTTCTGACCAGCTGAGCACCTCTAGGCCTCAGGTAGGTCCTGGAGGAACAACCTGGAAGGGTCCTGGGGCAGACCCCCTGGACCTGGGTGGGCATTCAAGGACCCACAGCAGGGACAGACAGCCCAGGGCATGGCTTTGGAGGTTCATTTCCTAAGTGTCTTGAAGGGTTATAGAAGGCAGAGAATTAAGTAAATCAGACATGACAGTGACTGTGCTGCTGAGGGTGGAGAAGCCTTGCTGAAATCCCCCTCCCATCCTTCCCCCCACCTCCACCTCCCATACAGCTGGTGGGCGGAGTCAGAGGCTAGGGGTCCTTAGGGGAGAGACCCCCAATGGCAGGGAGTACTGAGCCCCTGAGAGCTCCCCACCCTCTTCCTCCAGCAGGCAGGGTCTCACTCAGGGCATCTCCTACACACCCATCTGGTGTTCGTGCCTCCACACCTCTACCCATGCCGTTCCCTCTATTTCTCTACCCCTTGAACCCGGACTTGGCCACGTGACTTGCTTTGGCCAATGGCTCCTTAACAAACATCTTGCACACAGAGGCTTTAAAAACCTACATCTCGGGCAGAAGACCTAAATAGACATTTCTCCAAAGAAGATATACAGACTGCCAACAAACACATGAAAGAATGCTGAACATCACTAATCATTAGAGAAATGCAAATCAAAACTACAATGAGATATCATCTCACGCCGGTCAGAATGGCCATCATCAAAAATTCTAGGAACAATAAATGCTGGAGAGGGTGTGGAGAAAAGGGAACACTCTTGCACTGCTGGTGGGAATGTGAATTGGTTCAGCCACTATGGAGAACAGTATGGAGGTTCCTTAAAAAACTACAAATAGAACTACCATATGACCCAGCAATCCCACTACTGGGCATATACCCTGAGAAAACCATATTGAAAAAGAGTCATGTACCAAAATGTTCATTGCAGCTCTATTTACAATAGCCCGGAGATGGAAACAACCTAAGTGCCCCTCATCGGATGAATGGATAAAGAAGATGTGGCACATATATACAATGGAATATTACTCAGCCATAAAAAGAAACGAAATTGAGCTATTTGTAATGAGGTGGATAGACCTAGAGTCTGTCATACAGAGTGAAGTAAGTCAGAAAGAGAAAGACAAATACCGTATGCTAACACATATATATGGAATTTAAGAAAAAAAAATGTCATGAAGAACCTAGGGGTAAGACAGGAATAAAGACGCAGACCTACTGGAGAACGGACTTAAGGATATGGGGAGGGGGAAGGGTGAGCTGTGACAGGGCGAGAGAGAGGCATGGACACATATACACTGACAAACGTAAGGTAGATAGCTAGTGGGAAGCAGCCGCATGGCACAGGGATATCGGCTCGGTGCTTTGTGACCGCCTGGAGGAGTGGGATAGGGAGGGTGGGAGGGAGGGAGACGCAAGAGGGAAGACATATGGGAACATATGTATATGTATAACTGATTCACTTTGTTAGAAAGCAGAAACCAACACACCATTGTAAAGCAATTATACCCCAATAAAGATGTTAAAAAAAATTAAAAAATAAAACTAAAAACCTACATCTCTCCACATTACCGCGGCTGGTGAGGGATGAGGAGTTTGTGCTTAATGGGGACAGAGCTTCAGTTTGCAATGATGAAAACATTCTGGAGGTGGACGGTGGTGATGGTTGCACAACAGCATTAATGTACTTAATGCCTCTGAACTGTACACTTATAAATGGTTAAAATGGTAAATCTTACATATATTTTACCAGCTTTTTAAAGCCTCTCTCTCCTGCTGATCACTACTAAAAACGCTAGACAAAATACAGAAGACACTACCCAGAGACCCTGAAAAGTGAACAAAAGCAAGCAGATCGTGGAGTGCAGTCAGAACGCAGAAGTGACCATAAAGGGGGTGAATTTCCCTTTTTTTTCCTCTCATTTCCCTTGAAGCTCAAAGCTCCAGTCACAGAGCCATGTGGTAGAGCACCAGAATGAGCAGCTAAAACTCCACTGGAAACTCGGTCATTCTAGCCAGAGGAACCAGGAAAGGGCCCCTGCAGAGTGGAAACAGTGGGGAAATCCTAGAGAGGAAGTAGCTTCAGAGGGGGATCCCCTAGTTTTGTATGTGCACTGGGGTGACCAACGTATATCAGCTTGCCCAGGACTTCCCCGGGTTTACTACTGAAAATCTCGCATCCAGGCAAACCCCTTAGTCCCAGGCAAACTGGAATGGTTAGTCATCTTAGAATGGATCCACAAAAGTCTTAGACTCACCCCCAAGCTGCATGTGTAGCAGACAGATCTAGACCAGCATAAGAAAGACTTTAAAATCTGGACCACTAGGGCTTCCCTGGTGGCGCAGTCGTTGAGAATCTGCCTGCCAATGCAGGGGACACAGGTTCGAGCCCTGGTCTGGGAAGATCCCACATGCCACGGAGCAACTAGCCCTGTGAGCCACAATTACTGAGCCTGTGCATCTGGAGCCTGTGCCCCGCAACAAGAGAGGCTGCAATAGTGAGAGGCCTGCGCACCGTGATGAGGAGTGGCCCCCACTTGCCGCAACTAGAGAAAGCCCTTGCCCAGAAACGAAGAGCCATAAATAAATAAATAAATAAATAAATAATTTTTTTAAAGGCAAAATTCCTTTTAAAAAAAAAAAACTGGACCACTAAAAAAGCCAGAAAACAATGAACAAAATGGCAATAAGTGCATACCTATCAATTACTTTATTTTTTTTTTTAACATCTTTATTGGAGTATAATTGCTTTACAATGGTGTGTTAGTTTCTGCTTTATAACAAAGTGAATCAGTTATACATATACATATATCCCCATATCTCTTCCCTCTTGCGTCTCCCTCCCTCCCACCCTCCCTATCCCACCCCTCTAGGTGGTCACAATATCAATTACTTTAAATGTAAATGGACTAAATTCTCCAAAAGACAGAGTGGCTGAATGGATAAAAAGACAAGATCCATCTATATGCCGTCTACGGGAGATTCACTTCATATGTAAGCACACACACAGACTGAAAATGAAGGAACAGAAAAACATATTCAATGCAAAAGGAAGCCAAAAAGCCTGGGGTAGCTCTACTTATATAACAAAAAGACTATAAAACAAAGACTGTAATAAGAGACAAAGAAGAGCATTACAAAATGATAAAGGGGTCAAATCCAACAAGAAGATATAACATTAGTAAATATTTATGGAACCAACATAGGAGCACCTAAACATAAAAGCAAATAATAACAGACCTAAAGAAAGAAATCGACAGCAATACAATAATAGTGGACTTTAATACCCACCTTACATCAATGGAAAAATCATCCAAGCAAAAAAGAAAAAAATCAATAAGGAAACAGCAACCTTAAAGGACATGTTAGACCAGATAAACTCAACAGATATATACAGAATATTCGATTCAAAAGAAACAACACACATTCTCATCAAGTGCACATGGAACATTCTCCAGGATAAATAATGGTGGGCCACAAAGTAAGCTTTATAAATTTAAGAAGACTGAAATCATATCAAGCATCTTTGCCAACCACAATTGTACGAAACCAGAAATCAATTACAAAAAGAAAACTGGAAAATTCACAAATATGGAGATTAAACAACATGCTACTGAACAACCAATGCGTCAAAGAAGAAATCAAAAGGGAAATTTTAAAAAATACCTTCAGGGACTTCCCTGGTGGTGCAGTGGTTAGGAGTCCATCTGCCAATGTAGGGGACATGGGTTCAATCCCTGGTCTGGGAGGATCCCACATGCCACAGAGCAGCTGGGCCCATGCACCACAACTACTGAGCCCACACGCCACAACTGCTGAAGCCTGTGTGCTTAGAGCCCATGCTCTGCAGCAAGAGAAGCCACAAGAGAGAGCCCGGGCACAGCAACGAAGAGTAGCCCCCACTCACCGCAACTAGAGAAGGCCTGCACACAGCAATGAAGACCCAGTGCAGCCAATAAATAAATAAATACCTCCAGACAAATGAAAATGGATAGAACATACCAAAACCTATGCAATGCATCAAAAGCAGTTCTAGGAGGAAAGTTCATAACAATAAATGCCTATACAACATCAGAAATCTCAGAAAAACACTCTATACCTCAAGGAACTAGAAAAAATGAAGCCCAAAGCTAGCAGAAGTTAGGAAATAACAAAGATCAGAGTGGAGATAAATAAAATAGAGATTAAAAAGACAATAGAAAA